AAATACTTTTTCTAAGTCTATGCTAGGTGATCTTCTGGGCTGATTCCAAAAGTTTTTATAAGCACCATTAATTTATGCATTTATAAACATAGGGGCCAGGTCGGAAAATAAATAAATGAATGAAATACTCTACACAACACACCACTGAAACTCACTGATTAAATAACTGGTTTCTGAATGAGCAGGCTTTGATATTCTTTATACTTTCTGAATGAGTTTGATTCAGGCTCAGAGTTCTGCATCTAGTACATGTTTGTGCATCATGTGTTCTTGCTTGGCAAGTGTATGAGCATTGAATGCTTTTGTTGCTGTGCAGCCAGAAAACAATTAGCTCACAAACGGATCAATCCACAGATATTTCATTTCCTCATTGAGTTGAGACTGGTGCCTCCCCTCTCTGTGAACTGAAGGCCATTTTTTTAAACCTGCTGAGTTTTCAATATCTGGCACTGGCTATCTAGGTTAATCATTCTAGCTTTAGAAGTACCACAGCGTCTGGGTTGTGTTTTCAGAATAGCAATGGATGGCCAGCCTTTGCTTTGTGAGCACAGAAAACATTAATGTTGATCAGAATGATGGGGCCTCTGACATCTGCTCCTCACTACAGTGGGACCGATAGAAAGTTTTTTTAGGGTTTTTAGTTCTCAAAGCAGCAAAAACTCAGTAGGCTGACGCAAATGTGAAGATATTTTACTAAGAATAAAACAAGGATGCAAAAATCCAGGCAGATAAACAAAGCACAGGGGGTCCGGCTGAGGTACGGTCAAAGGCATAATCAGGATCAGCACACGCAGGAGAATGAAGGGCTGGAAGGTTAAGGCACAACAGACGGAGTCCAAAGTGGAAAATGAAATGATTGTGGGAGCTTAAGACGGAAAGGGGGGACAGGGGAATGAAGAGGAGGAGCAGGTGATGGTGGAAAAGGCGGATGAGGGCAGTAGGGTCTGAAATGACGGCAGAATTAAAACATGTGCTAAAAAAACTGGACCGAAGGAATGAAAGGATGAATGAGCAGACTGGAACTCCAAACCATGACCCAGAGAAATGCTCCGAGTAACATGTAAGCCTCTCGTGCCAAGACAGAAGAGCTAGAACTGCCTCATCTGATTACAGTGCACTTTTACCCAATTAGACCACAACTACGAAGTGGGCCCCTGCAGCACAGCCATGTTGACAAGCTGAGGAGCAGACTTAGCCCTGAGGTTAATGCATTTCATTTTCTCCTTGCTATTGGTACGAGGTGGTTTTAGCAGAGGCCGCCCCACAGAGCAGGCCATATATCTCACTTGGGGAGTCCTGCATTATCACTGCAGAATGTAAACATGACAATGACTTATGACTTGCTGCCACTGCTCAGACCCTAATGCAATAACTAATGTATCAGTACAGCTGCAGTAGGAGTAACCAACACATTACTGGTTGGTGCCAGATGAAATATACTCAAGACTCAAGCCTTAAAAAGCCTCGACTGTCCAACGCAGCCGCTTCTACGTAATTACACTGTCAATAATGTTGTTTCACGCAAAATTGAATTCAACCCCAAGTATTGTTATTTATCTCTGTGGTCTTGCTCACTTGTTTGAATTTCATTTCTCAAAAAAAAAAGATGAATATCTGATGCCAACTGCTGTGGAATACGAATGTTAATGTTTTGACTACATTTGTAATTGTAAGGACTTTAATTATTTCTGCAGTAGTGCAGCTATTCTCTTTGAATCAAGTCAAGATACTGTCTTCTGTGCACACAAAAAGCTATTCAGCGGAAGACCACGTATAATAAACTGGTCGTATAATAGAAGATAAAAGACGGTGAATTAAATGAACTGACATTAAAAGAAAACCGGCTGGCTCCGGGAGCAGACGATGAAGAATGAAAATCACTGATTTCGCTAACAGCCATGTGGGCTGGGGCCGAGGGAGAAGCTGCTGATGCTGCATTGATTTGCCAGTGACTTCTCTGTGATGGATTGGGATCAGTTTAAAACCATTAGACAATCCACAATGTCTGAGCGTGCGTTCCTTCGGCACGCTTTCCCTCAAACACATGTTTTCAAATATTACGTCTTTAACCAAAGAGAAAGCAGAAAGCGAATTATGAGGAAATAAAACCACCAACTGTGACAGGGTCCCATCTCAAGCCAAAGGAGAAAGCTCCACGTCTGCCATGGAGAATAATCTTTGTAATGGAGAACAATCGGGCAGTTCTTATAACTGATGGTTGTAAACAGGCACCAGTTTCATTATTACCTCCTTATTTGCATTGCATTGAACACTCCTCCACCCTTTGGCAAGAGGAGTAGCAATGATAACTGCGGTGTCAGTATAAAATGCAATCACCCAAGTGACACCCGGAAGGTAAAAAAAAAATGTAAGTAGAACGTTACAGAGAATAAAATATAAATGGCTAAAACCTAAATGTTCAAATCAAAGGTACTTGACAATGCTGTATTTCAGCCCCGACAGTTTTAGTTTTTCAATGTACGTCCACTCATTGTACACAACAATATATTTTTTGTCTCTCAAAAAAATACAGGGAATCATGCAAATATAACAACTTTTCTTTTATGTAGTACACTATGTTAAGCTTTCTCTGTTCTTAAAACCTTTATAACATATATATCGTTGCAAGTACTAAAAAGTCAGCCCCATAATTCCCAAGAACCACCCCTCCCCCTCCCCTCACAGAGCCCCCCCTCCTCCAAAACAAAAAAGTAAACAAAGACAAACAACCAACTGAAAAAAGAGAAACACAGACATATCAAGAGTTCAGGCTCGAGTATAAAACATCTATAGAAGCAATTTTTTTTAATTTTTTTTACCTTAGCATCTTTTTTCTTTTATCTAGTGTACAAAATTCACAGATATTTCACAGATTCTTTAAATCCTTTGTCCGTCTTTGGGAACTAAAACTTGCAGTATGCATATTTTGTGAGTGAATAAACAAACTGTGCACATTTGTGGGGGCTGAAAAAAAAGTGTTGTTGTGAAAGGTGGCGTCCAATTGAGATGTAAATTGTAGCCCGTTCTGGCTTACTTCAGATTTTCAAATGCTCTTCTGCTCAGAAATCCTATTATTCACAATTATCAAAGGTTGATTTCTTTTCCAGCTCAAATACCTGACAAAGAGATTTAAAAACCTACGCCGACGACATGCATTTCTCTGAGCTTTGCACAGCTTACAGGCTCAGCTTTATGCCTGTTTACTTATTTATCATTTTAGCTACCGAGTCCAAAGGGCAAAGTATTCAAGAAGAGCACGAGTAGTCTGTTCTGATGAAGAGCTTTAGTTGTCAACATTAACGCCATAAACAAAAATAAACAAACAAACCTATTTTTTTTTTACTCTTCAGCAGAGCGCTTGGCAGTTGGAGAGGAACTGTTGGCAGTGCTCGGCCCGTCAGAGCTGCCTCGTAAAGTATGAAGAGTGACCAAGAAATCGGTCACGCCGAAATGACGTTTCATTTATCTCAATAGAACTCCATTATCACTCTTAAGATAAATATAAATTCACAATAGAGCACCAATGCAGATGACATGCATTCAATTTCCATTGCATAAGCCTATAAGCTCTGCTGTGGCAATTGTGAGGAGACGTGGTAGTTTCTCCAATTATCACATTTGGCACATTATCCACACGA